ATTTTTATTTATTAAAAAAAAAAAAAAAAAAAAAAAAAAAAAAACGAAACAAAAGTCATCTTGTTTGTAGTATAATGTCAATATTGAACCCATATTTTATCACTTTTTTACTAATTCTTTACCCAATTGATGTATATAAAATTTATTGATTATAAAATTTTTTAAAGTATTTAAACCGTTCGATTTTATATTTTTTATGCGATATTCTTCATGTTTATCTTCCTTCGATTTTAATTGTTAAACATCAATTTGCTTACAAATTGCAATAAAGATTACTTTTAATTGAATTGAATGATAAGGTAGAATATTTTCTTTTTTTCTAAAGCAAAAATATATGAAACTTGAATGGTAAAAACTACCTTGACAGTTTCGCTGTGTTCTTTACGAGCATCTTCTCCAGAAAAGAATTTTCCGTGATAGTGTCTCTCCTAAAGAAGCTGGTCGTGTAAAGAACAGCGAAACTGTCAAGGTAATTTTTACCATTTAAGTTTTTGGTTTGCAAAAAAGAAAATATTCTATCTTAAATAAATAAAAAAACCAAAAAAAAAAAAAAAAAAAAAAAAAAAAAAAAAAAAAAAAAAAAAAAAGACAAAAAATAATAAAAAAAATAATGAAAACAAACACTTGCACCACTTTTCACATTAAATTCCATAGTGAAAGTCTTGGTTATGCAGGGATCTTTCGAAATGTAGGCCTAATATTCAACTGTCTATTAATTAACAGGAAAAGTTTTTTTTTTTTTCAAATTTTGTATTTGAAAGTTAATAACTTATTTAAATATTAGGCAATTCTTATGGAATAAATTTTTTTATCATTTTCAGCTCATCTTCAATTGACTTTTTTCCCTTATCACAGTACATACATCCAGGAATGTTTAGTTCCAGTGAGTAAAATATATATTTAAAAATCCGTAGACATAACTATAATATTCAATTTTACAATTTAACAAATACAGTACATCCTTCTTCCCTTCTTTCAGATCTATCGGCGTTGAGGGCGCAATTTATACAGCTGAGACGTACATTGTATTGTAAACATTGGAATTGGAAGAGGGGGTCGGCGAATTTGTTTTTATACTTTTCAGTTTCTTCCTTCAGATGACTGAAAACAGTGGACGTTATTGATCAAAAACAACTAACGGAATTATTCGGTTTCTTTTGCAGTAATCATATTAAGCATCTGAATCAACTAACTTCCTAGCTTAGGCCGAGGCCCTCTGTCAAGCTAAAGTACTGGACTGCCAAACGTCATTCGTCCACAAGGAGAAGGAACAACATCAAAAAGTTCGATGTCGTTTGGCCTAGGCTAGGCTTTGTTTCTAGTTCCTCAATTACACAGTGACATTCGTTGATTATGCATTGGTGGTGCAAATACAGATAGGACTAATCGTCACTTATATGGATGTTGATTTATCTGTAACATATTACGTATTCAAAATATATGTACTTTAAAAAGTATTCGATATAAATATATTTAAAAAAAATGGACAGTATTAATATTGTGCACAAGTTACGAAATCGTCAGCTGCAGGTAAGTTTGGGAAAAATTCATGCAATGCTAGATTAGTAGGGGCCTATTATTATTGCTACTAGTAATTTTAATACCGCTTGTTGATATGCCTAGATTCACAACTTAAACATTTAAAGCACAGACTAAAACCTGAAGTTTTCAAAATCCAGAACTTTAAAAGTAGGCCTAGTACTGAATACGGTACTATTACTAGTACTAGGCCAATGTTGATTAGGTTGTGGGTACATACCGGTACGTACATTCTGCGATCTTAAAATACAATGGGGTTTCTTATCGTCACACAAATCGTGATTCTCCACACCGACTCAATATCCTTGGTGGTTGGCCCAACATTTCCACCATTGCATCCAGAGATGTTGGAAGGGAGGGCCGAAAGGGGGTATGGCAATTGAGAGACAACACTACCTTAGGACCCCCGGGAAATTTTTGTTTTCTAGACAGCTGGAAATAACCACTGAGGCACATGTCACCAATGTATGCGAAAATGCTTTTAGAACATACTTATTTTTACAGCAAATGACAACTATGCATAGGCTTATTTTGCGTGCATTCCACGTGTCTAAACAAAGCTTCCTCCCCCCCACCCCTATTGAAAATGTTTAAACCAAAAAAGTCACTTAAAAATCACCTCTATCACATTGTTTGTGCAAGCCTCGCTTAATCATTGATCCCCCACTTCACCTATCAGAGAGGCGCTTGGAGGAGAAGATTGTTTTTGCTGGACAGTAGGCCTACTTCATATAATAATTCGCTGTGTTGCTGTCGCTTTCCAGTCAAAACGGCAGTAAACCAAAACGGCAGTAAGTCAAAACGGCAATGACCAAAATGGCAATAAACCAAAACGGCAACATTTTTTTACCAGAACGGCAATGGACCAAAACGGCAATAAGTCAAAAACGGCAATAAAGCGAAACGGCAGTAAACCGAAATAAATAAATAAAACTTTAAATTACAGACAAAATGAGGCTAAAACAATTTATGTCATAGAAGTAAAAAATGCGAAAAAACATTAATAATATTAATAATAAAAATAATAATAATAGGCCTATTAACAGCAATATAACAATTATACAAATTTAATAATAAAGGGGGGAAACACAGTATGAAAGCAGTAAACATTAAAATAAATAAAACTTTAAAATGCAGACAAAATGAGGTATCTAAACCAATTTGTCATGGATGTGTAAAAAAAAATGCGATTAAACATTAAAATAATAATAATAACGTGTAAAAAAAAAAAAAAAAACTGCGATTAAAAATTTAAAACAGGAAAAAGAGCTCATGGCAATAATCGATTTGCCTACAGACGATCGGGCCAATTTCCAGACGATTCGGAAAATTATAAACTGCTGCCCATGCCCGGCGGCACTTGGTCTAGGCATTACTTTGCTCCTTTGCCGTTTTGGTCTGTGCCTTTAATTGGTATAGTACTTGTCAGTGCCGTTTTAGTCTGTTGCTGTTTTGGTACTTATCATTGCTGTTTTGGTTTATTGCCGTTTTGGTTATTGCCGTTTGGTCATTGCCATATTGGTTTATTGCCATTTTGACCTTCTACCTTGTTGTCACTTCAGTTAGATTGGTGTATGTTTGACCCCGTTTTGCCATATACAAAATGATAAATTAAAAATTTATGCTATTGTGTTGGTTTCTTTTCCTTGTGCAGGAGAGAGACCATTCGGTTTTTCAGCAGAAGCAGCAAGTGACTGCAATGCTTGTCAGTAGACTGGGCCTGGAAAAGGAGCTTGAGGTTTGTGGTATTTGTTTAGAAAATTAATTGAACATAATTAAATTCCTAAAGCCAGTTTTTCCAGAGGTGAAAAACATTTTTAATGATGTTTAACTGATTTTTCTGAGACACAAATAAGGGTGTTTGAGGAAAACTTTGGAATATGGTTAATGAGATACAGATTTTTGAATACTGTATTTAAAAACTGGGGGGAAAAGGTGGTAGGCCCCTTTTATCCCCAATATTTAAATATTCAAAAATCTGGATCTCATTAACTGTTAGCAATTTTGTGTAGTTGAAAAAATGTTTTTCTCCTGGGTTTAAACTATGTTTAAAGATAAAACCTTTGATAAAATATGGGAACACATTAAAAACTCCAATGGATTAGCTACTTCTAATGAAACAGAGATGAAAATAACTTTTGATTCAATGAACTTTTGGTGTTTCACAACAAAATATATTAATTTAATTACCAGCCAATTTAAGGGTCTATTTAAAAGAATTCGGAAAAATTTTATTTTTGGCTAATTAACTGCCGCCACAAAAAGATGGAAATTTCAGAAAAATAAACGTTTTTTTTTTTACACTCGCCATTGCTTTGAAAACTCCAAAAACAAGTTGTGTATAAGAAAGTATAATACATACTCCAAGTATTGAAATACACGCCATCGTGTTGGGATTCAATATTTCCTGATGATGACATAATTAATGTCAATACTTGGAGTATGTATTATACTTTCTTATCTGAGATTAATCAGTGGACCTTAAGTTATGTATATTTCCTCCTAATTAGATAAATTTAAAGCATTTAAGGATCCCATTACTATGGTCTTTACATTTAAAAAACAATAAAATATATTTTATTTTCTCCTCTCTTTGTTAACTAAGAAAACAAAATTTTATTTTTATTTTTTTTCCACCCTCCTCGATCTGAGGCAAGGTATAATTCTGATGTATTAATTGCAGGGTCATACTGGCTGTGTCAACTGTTTGGAGTGGAACTCTAAAGGAACGTAAGTGTCATTTTTTATTTGAAATTCATATTTTAACCTTTGATTTTCTTTCCTACAATACTCGAAATTGCACCGCTAGCGAAAAAGCGCCGCTCTTGAATAAGCCCCGCACCTATCATGTGATTTTTTTTTCACTAAGCGCCACTCACGAAACACACTGTGGATTTTTTTAAACGCTTAAGAGAGAGTGCATATTACACTCTGTGTAATGAAAAACTTTTTTGAACAGTTTTTTTTTGTTACATACATTGTATACAGTGTTCAAATGAATAAATAACACAGTGAAGACCCAAGCCCAGGTTTATAAAAGTTTATTTACAGTGATGTACAGTAGGGCCTATGGTAGGCCTACCGAACTATACCATCTGAGAATACACCTGAGATAGTTAACATTGGAACGGTCATGGAAAGTGCCATGCCAATATTTTTTTAGTAAGTGCCGCTCTCGATTAAGCACTGCTGCAGCGCTTATTTATAGATTTACAGTAAAATTAATTAACAATACACTAATAATACAGCACTTATCCATCTATGTAGCATGTTATTCTAAGGTGCAGTGTTTTTGACAAAAAGAAAATGTTTATTATTTTTTAAATATTTGATTCGTTGAAAATGAGGAAAAAGTGTATTATATATGTGCTGTTAATTGTATTTCGCCAATTAGCATACCCGCTGCCACGTAATTTCAGAAAAAAATAAAAGTTTTTCTTTATTTTTATTATGCCCTTCGCTGCCTTGAAATCTCCAAAGATATGTATATTTCTTCCTAATTATATAAATTTAAAGCATTTAACCATCCCATTACTACACTGTTTACATTCACCAATAAATATTTGTTTTATTTTCTTCTCCGTCGTCTGGATGTTTTTGGCAAAATGGTTTGCTAAATAAGAAAGCAAAATTTTATTTTTATTTTTTTCTTTCCTTCTGTGATGATTTAAAAAAAAAATAAGTTTGCAAAACAAGGAATAAAAAAAGTCCCGCCTAAACAGGAAAAAATATATCGATACAGATTTACATAAATCTCTGTCTAGATTATCAAATTTTCTTCGACAAAAAGCAGTATGCCAATATATAGTGATGACATGCCTATATATGGTCATGATGTGATATCATTATGACCACATGTAGGCATGTCCAGTGGTAAATTCAAGGGGGCCCTGGCAAGCCTAGGCCTCCCCTAAATGTTTAAATTAAAAACAAAAAAATTAGGAAAAAAAGAAAATTCTACTCGAATTTTTAGTCTACGAGTGCCATTTATGACCATCTAGAGGTGCTATAATCATAAATTTTCTTACCTCAGCCCCAACCATGGTGGGGCTCCATCTGGTAAAGTCCCTCTCTGGACCCCCTCTATTTCAAATTCCTGGATCTGCCACTGATGTCATATGTTTTGTCAAATAAAATTGATAGTCTAAAAAGGGCTTAATAAGTTGCTTGCATCAACAAAATAGACACACCCATCATTATTGTAGTGAAGCTCAGATATTAAATTTTAAATAAGTTTTAAAAATTCTCTATTTCGTGTGTTTCAGGTTGCTTGCAAGTGGATCAGATGACTTGGAAACAATTTTGTGGAATCCTTTCCTCCACAAAAAATTAACCACTATCAAAACTGGTCACCATGGAAACATATTTTCAATAAAGGTAAATAGTGTAGTATGATGATGAGAACGGAATATGATAATGGGTTGTGTAGACAAAAACTGTGCGATGATTAGACAGAGAAGACAATACTACTAACTGATAACAATAGGAGAATTGTACGAAAAACATATGGATTTCAAATTAATGAAAGTAATGAGACAGAGAGATAAATCCTCTATATGACAATTATAGCATTAGTAGGTCTGGTTTTAGGCTGTGTGTACCTCGACTTCATCACTCAAGATATAGAAGCTCCTTTACACCAGATTTAATCTTCTACAACAATCAAGCAGTTCGCAAATAAACTGGGGAACAATTGTCAAGCATTAATATTTCATACTTTCTAGGTCCTATCCCTATTTTAACCCACTTCAATCTCAGTCTGTAATCTTAAACTGTTATTCCAATTGTACCAATTTTTATCACATCCTGCAGTTTTGGCTATTTTCTCAGATGAGTGACTGGTTTGGCTTGTCTTTGCCACTAATTTTTAGTGAGTGTAATGTTGGACCATAAAAGATATCTTACCCTATCTTATTATATCAGTGTATTCTGGATTTAGCTAAATGTAAAGGTAGGAGAGCAACCCATAACTGCAGTAGGGTGTCTGTGATTCATGACTACATGTAACAGCCATTAGGAGGAGTTCGTTAGCTTCATGTTTACTTTATACCATAACGACATGGGCTGAAATAAACTGGAGAATTCGGGTTTACTTCTTACTGATCTTCCAAAAGATACAATTGGTTCTTTAAGGTGCACACAATTAAGCCAGATATGTTTTAATAATAATAATAATATATTATATTTGAGGCTTGCCATCCAAAAACCAGTATCAGTAACCAAAAAATAAAAATTGACTTTTTAATATATTCATATTTTCCACATTATAAGCTTTACAATGCAGGGTCATTTACTTGAATGTGCTTTCTATTGCCAAAGTTGTGAGTAAAGGTAAAGGTAGGAAAATATCCCATAACTTGCAGCGTCATTGTGCTGAATTGTGTATGGGCGTGGCCTGTGACTACCTAGCAGCCGTAAAAGGCGCGCTTCTTGGTAGATACATGTTTACATCATTCCACAACGACAGGGGGCTGAAATGAACCATAACATCGGGGTAACCCCCTACTCTTCCGAAAGATGCAACAGGTTCTTTAAAGTGCACACGAGCCAGATGTATACACTGGACCTCCATTTTAAGTCCTTATCCGAGAAGACTTGGTTCTACCTATCGAACCATGGGCGAGGAGCAGCTGGTACCAGCGCCGATGTTGAGGCTGTAGCTAGCGGCGCCCCTGCCTTAGCGCTCGGCCACTAGACTCGCTCAAGTACAAGTACTGTACAAGTTGCAGCTTCTCTACTAAAATGTAAAGTACTGCAACATTCTTACACTAATTACTCAGTTTAACAATTAGTGACAGTACGCTGGTTTTTTGGATGGCAATCCTTATTTATATAGCACCTGTGTGTGGATCACAGAACTCTCTAGACACTTTACATTTAAGTCTTAAACCATAATACTCATCAAAAAAGTCTTATCTGAGAAGACTTAATTCAGCCAACTGAAACCTATGGCCTGGAGGGTCTCAATCAGCACCGATGTTTATTGCTGCAGTGCAAGCCCTCTTGGGCACTTGACTTTTGAATAGTGCAAGATTACCCATGGCTTAAGTTCTATTAATTAATTTATCCATCTGTTAGTTTTCAGTTAAAAGCAAATAATTTAGCTAATACAAAGAAAACAGTTCAGGTTCTTGGATTTCATTGTCAAGATAAACAGGGGCGGCTCCAGAGATGTCCAAAAGGGGGGGGGGCCCGAAATTTGGGCCGATCGAGACAACAATGTTCTAGAGGGTCTGGGGGCATGCCCCTGCGAAATTTTTGTGTTAGATGCCCGAAAATTAGCTCTGAGGCATTTTCGGCGATCACATTTTTCTTTTTCTCTTTTCTTTGGGGCGAGGCAGGGCCGGCCCTAAATCTGCCCCTGATAAACGCAACACAATTAACACAGTCAGTATTACAGTACAAACAAATATATGTAAACCTGTTTCAATACAGTATATAATATAGTAATATCATCACTATCCCCTTCAAGTTTTTACCAGATTCAAATGATAATGTTTTGGCTACCTGTGCAGCTGACACTAAGGTGAGAATTCATGATGTAAGCCGAGGAGAAACGACACAAGCATTTAGTTGCCATGCAGGGCGTGCAAAGCGGCTAGCAACAGCACCGAACTTGCCATATATGCTGTGGAGTGCTGGGGAGGACGGAACGATAAGGTAAGGAGCATATGGTTATGTAAGGCTAGCAATACTGCCTTAAAGTTTTCATATAGTAGAGGAGAGGATAGAACAATTTGCTGTTGTGCTCTTTGTGAATACAGTAGTTGATACAGGAATATGAATTAATGGAGCCTGTGGAGGAAGTTTTACAGATAGGGTACAGACTAATACCTCACTATGGTTCTGGCTGAAGTATGATATTTGATGTCTATTGCACCTCTAGATAGCTGAATATGGCATTATAAAGTTTGAATGCATTTTTCCCCTTCATTTTTCCCATTGCACCAAACCGCTTCTGCTATCATATATGGATCATGTATCATCATACAGTATACTGTACTTTCACATATGAATCTTTTGATACAATTTATTTGATATTTTCGTTCGTCCTTTAGGCAATTTGATCTCCGTATGCCACATACGTGTGGGGATAGTTGTGAGAATGTTCTGATAAATTTAAACACATACATTGGGAACCATGCAGAATGTAAATGCTTGGCCATCAACCAGTATAGACCTGAATTACTTGCAGGTATGTATGAAAAAATACTTTGTGTATAGTTGACTAATAAATTAATGCTTGTCTCTCAGTGGTTGTTGAGTATTAAACTAAATTAACTTCATTGAATTGTAACGAGATTGTCATCTTCAATACAGGGTGCATAAATACAGTAAAATCACTATACATTCATAAAATATTTGTTGACAGTACAATAAAACATTCATGATTAAAACAATTTACAACAGGCAGCTAGCTGAAAACTGGTGTGTGCGCTGAACCATGGAGATCTCTCGGTCCCCGGTTCAATTATTTAAGTTTCAAAAGCATAACGTCTTTCGGATGAGACGTTTAAGATGTTGGTCCCATGTGCAAAATAGTCCATTTGCACGTTAATGAAGGCAGTATAATCTTTGGAAAAGAGTAGGAGATTGTCTCTCAGTGTACTGTCCAATTCACAAACAGAAGGGCCCCACTGGAAATTATGTCTTAGGACTTTAGTTTGTTATCTTTGGTGTGTACCTCATCAAAGAAATCCAATCCAATCAAATACCAAATAGAATCACCAAACTATTAAATGAAAAATGAATTATCATCTGTGATATTTTCAAATATTACAGTGCCGTTTTGTATCGGTATCATGGTAGTTATAGTCAATTCACACTTATTTTAGCTCCAAAATTTAGTAGCTAGGCCTTAGTCTTACCTATATTCTATTTTGTTCCTATTTTCTAAATTAGTTGGTGCTAACGATCCATACGTACGACTGTATGATATACGCATGCTGTCTCCATACTCGGTTCGATTTTCTGGGGACGAAAGACATGATTCTCCCTGGCAGACTCCAGCTCCTGATCCAGATGCCCAAGGGAATTTACCCCAGGGCTGTGTGCAATATTTTGTAGCCGGTAAGATAATAACAAGATTAATTAACCAATGATAAATTGTTATTGAAAAGCCATATGATACTAGCATGTTAATGATTCATATTAATATTTACCTTAATTTTTGTATAAATTCAATTTATGCAAATATAACTGGGATATTTTAATTGTAGACTTATAGTTTCGAATGTTAACCAAATTGTATAAACAGTGGTGGCTCCAGAAATTTGTTGACAGGTGTCTGACATGTTGGGGGTGGGGGTTCAAACTTTGGGGCCGACTAGAGCCTTGGGGGTCCCAGAATAAAAAATCTCTAGTTAGGTTCACAGGGAGAGTTTTTATGGCTTATTAATATTATAACCCAAATTGTGATTTTAGACCACAATATTAGGGATTGGCAATCAAAATAATGTTGTTTGGGTAGGTATATTGTTATTTGGCGTCGGAAGAATGGGATGGGGTCCAGGCCTGTCCAATGGTGGGGGGAGGGTTTCCCCAACTGGCACCACCATCCGAGTATTAAAAAGTTCTTGAATTTTTAATTGTTTGTTGTTTTTATAGCTCATTTGCCAACAAAGGAGGAAGTCAGAAGAAGACGCTACCCATCTCTAGTATCAACGTATATAACTTTCAGTCCTAACGGCAACGAGATCCTTGTTAATTTAGGTGGCGAACAGGTTTATTTATTTGATATTGTTCATCATAGAAAACCGAAGGGGTTCAAAACCGGAGATTACATTTTACCCGTGTCAAATAACAATGGTATATGTAAAGGTATAGTATAGTATAATATTTATTGTTATCTTTATCAATACAACACAAATTTACATTTTGCGTTTAATATGCCCAACATACAAAAATTCTCCAAAAATCTTCTCAAACCCAGGGCTCCATTTTATTCCAGAAATTGTAACACTATTTTTTCTATAGAGTAGGGTACAAACAAATTTATGGGAAGATGAATAACCAAAAAATAATAGTGACTTTAAATTTATACTTAAAGATTCTACATTTCTAGTAAACAAACAAATGCTGCTTTAATGGCCACAGGAGAAACAATAGCAACTGCATTGAATTTTATGTTTTATCATAAATATTCAGGTATACTATATTCAAATTTAAAGCATTGACTAACAAACAGCCAAAGTCTGAAACCGTAGTGTTACATTATTAAGATAGCAGTAGGCCTACTGTAATACATCAAAAATGAATACGGAATAACAACCTACGACTTATTATTTAAAATTTTGGCAATTGTAACAACAGGTGACCTTCTAAATTTGCTTGGATCTGCCAAAAGAAGTTCAAGTAAAAGGGGCAGGATCCAAGGTCTGTGTCATGTTGCCGACAAGGAGGGAGCATGTTTCGAAATAAATCAGAGGCAAGAAGCTTCTTTCCATAAGACAATAACAGATGCTCCCTCCTCGTCGACAGCGATGGAAGACCAGCGATCTCACATGCCTCATCTTATCTTCGATCAGGTACCAAAATTATTCTAAGAGTGCGCTTCTGAATCCTTTCAATGGCACAATTGTATCAGTAAGATAACCGTGCCACACAGGACTCTTCTGTCGATTGGTTCATGGCTGATCCGTTGTGACCCTTCTGGTGACATCCTTCCATAATGATCGATTTTGTGCTATATGGGAAGCTTCATTCATGGATAAGCCTGTTGCTGAACGTATGCCATCAGCCCATCTCAACTTCTGTCGTCCTCTCTTGCGTTTTCCTTGGATTGAGCCTTGAATTATTACTTTCTCGATGTTATCACCCTCCCTTCTGCAAATATTTCAGTTTGCTTCTGTCAATGATTTTTAGACTACTTCTCTTTCCTATGAGGGACATCACATACTGTATTAATTTTTCTTTTTCTCTTTCCACAATATTCTTAAAAGTCTCCGCCTACACCACACCTTGAAAGCTGCCACTTTCTTTCTATCATTTTTTCCAATAGACCATGATTCACTGCCGTATAGAACAATGGGAAACACAATGCTTTCCATGATACGTATTTTTGTTCTTCTTGTGATGTTTCTATCTTTCCAGATAACATTTAAAGATGTTACTGCTGATTTTCCCATTGCCGTTCTCCATTTTATTTCTTTGGTGCAACCACCATCTTTTTCTAATTGAGATCCCAGGAAATTAAAGGAGCCACACAGGACAGGCATATTCAAATAACTGTCTATTATTAAAGATAAATAAACACAAATAAGGTCATTAAACAGGAACATTTCTAAGAAATTGTTTACATTATGCATTCTTAAAAAAGCTGTTAGCTATGATATCGTCAGCATGAATATTCCATCTTAATTCATTACTTATTTGTTACGCCTAGCAATTTAATTTGGCAAACCTCCTATTAGATCAACGCCATTGATAGAAAAACGCGGAGGTGGAACTTCTCTGCGAAGAAAACTTATTTGCATAGAATACAGGAACTTTTCTAAGAAATTGTTTACATTATCCATTCTTAAAAAAGCTATTAGCTACGATATCGTCAGCATGAATATTCCACCTTAATTCATTACTAATTTGTTACGCCTAACAGTTTAATTTGGCAAACCTCCTAAAGATCAACGCCATTGATAGAAAAACGGGGAGGTGGAACATCTCTGCGAAGAAAACTTATTTGCATAGAATACAGGAACATTTCTAAGAAATTATTTACATTATCCATTCTTAAAAAAGCTATTAGCTACGATATCATCAGCATGAATATTCCATCTTAATTCATTACCAATTGTTACGCCTAACAATTTAATTTGGCAAACCTCCTAAAGATCAACGCCATTGATAGGAAAACGGGAAGGTGGAACATCTCTGCGAAGAAAACTTATTTGCATAGAATACAGGAACATTTCTAAGAAATTATTTACATTATCCATTCTTTAAAAAGCTATTAGCTACGATATCATCAGCATGAATATTCCATCTTAATTCATTACTAATTGTTATGCCTAAAAATTTAATTTGGCAAACCTCCTACAGATCAACGCCATTGGTAGAAAAACAGGGAGGTGGAATATCTCTGCGAAGAAAACTTATTTCCATAGAATGACATTTAGAAAATAATGAACAAGTGCAAATACAAGAATAGGTTTCAGTTGGAGCATGTGTCTACTGATTGACATCTCGATTATTGTAAAATTTCTGATTAAAACTCTTTTCCAGTATTATTAGGCATAAAAGCATACATCAAGCTTTCAAAAAATAACCCATCTGTCCACATTTTTCGTCTTGGCAATTGACATGGATAACTGTACAAGTAAAAGATTGTTGACAGGTCTTATCTAACCTAGGCATGTCATTGTATTTTGTAGGCACGTTTAGGACACTGTTAATTTCTTTCCTGAGCTTGTTATGATGCAATGGTATCCCATAATTCCTCTATTTGAACTTGAACTCTCAAACCGGATTTACTCTCACAACTTACAAGTGAGATGATAACTAAGTAGCTACAGCCCCCACAGGGGCAGTAGACACAAAAACCAACATATACAAATGTACACAAAATGGAGCGATCAATAACAGGATTTCCAAAAGGAAAACAATTGCAATTTATATGGCATACAATTGTTATTATTAACATTATTATTATTGGGTCATTCCGACTCAAATCAACCACCATGCCCATGTGACTCCCCTTGGATATTCCTGAAAAATTTCAGTCTATGTAGCAATTTTCAACTTTATATCTTCGTTATTTCCGGAGATATAATATAGCTTTGTAAAAACCGTACAAAGTTAAAGGAGCCATTTCTGGCATGAGGGGTGTGGTACCTACAGTAAATTTCAAAAGGTCATAACTTAAAAACTACTTGGAAATTGGAGCTGAAATTCTGAATTCTTTCTTTTGACATATCAAGGTATTTTTATAATTTTTTAAAGGAAAATTCAAGAGGGTTCACATGGGAACTTTTAAATTTCTGGCTGATTTGAGGCGGAATATACCCTATTATTTTTTTTGCTATTGCTATTTCTGCTGTTGTTTTTGTTATTAATTTTATTGTTGTTCCATCATTTTAAAGATGTCTCCAGTACAATGGCAGAAGCATTATCGTCCAATGGAACATCGGTGCATTCTTCAAATGGGTTGACGAAGGGTATTGCATCAACGAGCAAAATGAAAATCAACATGGATAATAACAGAAGTTGTGCAGCATTAAGGAGGTACGGTAAAAGATGATAATATTCAATTATTGTAAAGTCTTCAGGGAACTTTTAAAAAATATTGCTGCTGTCCTTGTTTTTCAGCTGGAGGGCTGAAATGCAAGTTTCAAAAGTGCACCATGTTTCAGATGACATGTTTAAGCCGTTGGTCCTGTGTGCAAAATGGCCTGTGAGCATGTTAAACAACACAGTACACTCTTTGGAAAAGAGTAAGGGGTTGTCTCCCGGTGTACTGCCAAATTCACCACCAGAAGAACCCAACTGGAAATAAGTCTCAGGACTTTTGTGTGTTATCCTAGGTGTGTATCACACCAAGAAATCCTTTTCAATGCAATAATTGTGTATCGATAGGCAATAACCACATATGGCAGTAGTGAAAATTTTGCCAACTTGGGGATAGGAAAATCAATGATCATTACGATGATACTGATGGTTATAATCAAATCATTGCAATTCATCTTTGCTGATATTTATTTTGTTTTGTTTGCTTGTTTACCACTGGATGCACACCTGTACTCTAAACTTTGTTTTGTCTGTGCTCGTGATCCTAGTTAGTTGTTATGATATTTCTTGGTTTTTAGTCTTTTTCTCTTCAAGAATTCAGAAGTCATACTATATAGCGTAAACAAATCTTTATACAGTATAATTATTTATTTTATTGATTGTGCGATTGTATATTTTTCATTTTTGTTAAATAGATCATGTCTTCCAACAAAAGAACTTCCACCCAAGGCAGATTCTTTAAAGCTGAGAGCTAATGAATTCTACTGTGAGAAAAAGGATTACACAAACGCAATACGACTCTACAACGAAGCTTTATCAATTGCACCGAACAGTCCCATACTCTACGCCAACAGAGCTGCAGCATACCAAAGGAGGAAATGGTTCGTTTTTATTATATCTTTATTAATCATAACATGTTTCTTTACATAGCATGCATGTCTATGAGAAAGCCTCAAGGCTGTTAAACAAGCTGTCTGTAAGGCAATTTGGTATGGCCCACTTCCTGGTGTGCTAAAAATGGGTCATTAACCTGTAAACAAAATTTAAGTAAAATTTGTAAGAGATTTTAGCATGGTATAAAATTCAATTTAAAAAATAATCCTACAGAGTCTTGCATTCTTCTAATTTATCTAGCGGCCCAATTTTGAGTCACAAAAAGCAAATATTTGATTTTGAATAATGTTGATTGGAATGCCAATAAACTGTACTAAATTGATTGGAAATTGAAATTTAGAGTTTTGCCATAACGGTTTCTAATGCTCTAAGAGATACTAGCCCAAACATTGAGATTTGGTTTAGAAATGCTAGGCCTAGGCCCCTGCAGGTCTACGGCCTGTTTAGGTATGCACGAGAGTCTTCGATCCGCGAACTGCAATTTGACACGTTAGATTTCTAGGCTACCTTAGGTTTACGAAGGATCACATAAATTCAAAAGCATACAAAGCACATTGAACTTGTCTGTGCTCGTGATCCTAGTTAGTTGTTATGATATTTCTTGGTTTTTAGTCTTTTTCTCTTCAAGAATTCAGAAGTCATACTATATAGCGTAAACAAATCTTTATACAGTATAATTATTTATTTTATTGATTGTGCGATTGTATATTTTTCATTTTTGTTAAATAGATCATGTCTTCCAACAAAAGAACTTCCACCCAAGGCAGATTCTTTAAAGCTGAGAGCTAATGAATTCTACTGTGAGAAAAAGGATTACACAAACGCAATACGACTCTACAACGAAGCTTTATCAATTGCACCGAACAGTCCCATACTCTACGCCAACAGAGCTGCAGCATACCAAAGGAGGAAATGGTTCGTTTTTATTATATCTTTATTAATCATAACATGTTTCTGTACATAACATGCAGGTCTATGAGAAAGCCTCAAGGCTGCTAAACAAGCTGACTGTAAAGGCAATGGTTCTCAAACTTTTTGGCTGATGACCTAAACAAATGTCCAGGCAATTTGCTACGGCCCACTTCCTGGTACGCTAAAAATGGGTCATTAACTTGTAAACAAAATTTAAGTAAAATTTTTAAGTGATACTTGTAATGCGTACACTCTTTTTACTCCATCAGATTTTAGCATGGTATAAAATTCAATTTAAAAAATAATCCTACAGAGTCTTGCATTCTTCTAATTTATCTAGCGGTCCAATTTTGAGTCACAAAAAGCAAATATTTGATTTTGAATAATGTTGATTGGAATGCCAATAAACTATACTAAATTGATTGGAAATTGAAATTTAGAGTTTTGCCATAACGGTTTCTAATGCTCTAAGAGATACTAGCCCAAACATTGAGATTTGGTTTAGAAATGCTAGGCCTAGGCCCCTGCAGGTCTACAGCCTGTTTTGGTATGCACGAGAGTCTTCGATCCGCGAACTGCAATTTTGACAGGTTAGATTTCTAGGCTACCTTAGGTTTACGAAGGATCACATAAATTCAAAAGCATACAAAGCACATTGAACACAAGAATAAGTAAATAAACACTATGTTGAACAATCATACTGCCTTTCCTTGCCAGTTATTTCTCACGTTAATGGTGGGCGAATGTTTTAGAAACCCTAACATCACCCTTTCCTATACTTTAACACTGATCGCACTGTAAATTTTCCGCAGTAATGCCCACTATATGTCGCATGACTGGTTGTAAACAAACATCACAAAATGTGTCTATTACAACTAAAATGCTCTTTTTACAAATGATTGTAGCATAATTATTGAAAAATGATAGAAAGATAAAAAGATAATTAGTTTTAGCCGAAAGTTATATTTATAGAGGATGCTTTAAAATAATATTGCATTTGTAGAGTTTTTACTTCTATCAATTTAATAATTATAGGAAGATATTTCCTGATTCCAATTCTCAAATGTCACTTTCTAGGGAAGGGGACATCTACGGTGCTGTGAGGGACTGCCATAAAGCTCTGTCGCTGGATCCGTCACATCGCAAAGCCCAATTCAGGTTGGCACAGTGCCTTTACGAGTTGGACTGGTTTCAAGAGGCTGGAGATTGTCTAAAGCAGTTTAAGATCAAGTTTCCTGATTACATCAAGGACTGTGAAGAGTTGGATAAGGGTCTGAAGGCAAAACATAACAATGAAGAAGGTTTGCATTTATATATTTTATTTGTTCTTTTCTTTACACACTATCAACATTATTTTTTGGTCTTATTTATCATCATATTTATTCATTCATTCATCTATGTAAACTTTTTTTCAGTATAACATTTATTGTTTTCAGTAGAAAAAAATCATTTTCAATTTTATTTTGTTGATTTAATAAAGGTCACTAATCTAATACACTATATTTCTCTTCGTCATCTTCTTTCCTCATCTTAAAATCTTTTAGAAAGTTCCATCTTTTACAGTCAAAACAAATACTTTTGGTCAACATGCCTTTTCTTTTGAAGCTCCTTCTACTTGGAATACCTTGCCTCTTTCAGTTTGTGATTTACCTATGTGCAGTAATCTCATAATAATCTCCTGTTCTTTAATATATGGTGCACTGAGATTTTTTTTCTCGTGTACATGTGCTATTATTTATGCACATGAAACCAGCATTTTATCCTTACCTTGAGAGCAAAGTGTCTAAAGACACGAGCAAGAATGGCCTAGCTCATTTCCTCTCACCAAAGCGCTAACTTGTATATTTGACCCAGAGTAACCTGGGGGCTAAGAATTACTGCCACATGCCACAAAGTTTTTGTTAACCCAGAGACTGGGGCTTATGAGGTATTACTACATAGTTTTGTTAACTTGGAATAGTTGGAAATACAGTACATGTATGTGTAGGCTGTCAATTTAGGCATCATGTCCAAATTATTTAAAATACGCCTTTAGATGTGTTTTTTCTTAGCGTTTAATGCTATGAACGAAATGGCAAGACAAGCCCAGTCTGTTGTTTTAAATAATTTGGACTTGATGCCTTCAGACAAGAGGTCTGTAAAGCCCTGACCAGACTATGAATTTTTATTTGACAAAAACATGTAATATGCCTAAATATGGTCATGATGACATCACATCATGACCATATATAGGCACATCATGACTATATATTGGCATACTACAGACTTTTGTTGAAGGAATGTTGATGATGTGGACAGAGCAAATATGAATTTACAAGTACAGTACATATTGACAATGCTTTATTTTAATTTTTTTTTTAATAAATAAATAAAATTAAAAATAAAAATAAATGCTCTAAAATTGCATGAAGTTGTTTTTGTTTACCAGGAGACTTAAACAAGGGAAGTAATATTACATTACCTCTGCTTCGATTTGGACGGAGTGGTCGGGAGTTTCAGCTGTCGGATCATGAAGTGGCGCTGCGCAGAGAATCATGGGATTATCAACAACGATACTGTGGACACTGTAACACAACGACAGATATCAAAGAGGCCAACTTTTTTGGCAGGTAAAATTCTGTTTATTTTTTCCAAAACATCAACAGAAGAATCATGTTTGTAAGGGTGACCAATAATTTTTCATATGAGCTCTGCTCAGATTTTGCCTGCCCACCTATATATTTTATATTTACTAAAGGTCATAAAATTGGTGATATAAATTCTGAACTTAACTGAACTACAGGTATATATAATGAATTATTTTTAATAAGATAATGACTATTATAATTAATATATTATAAAGATTATGAAAATGGTCTTTCATTATTTTTAATCGACTTTTTATTTCATTTCATTAATTGTCTCTCATAAAACAAGCTTAAGAAACAAAAAAAAATTACAATTGAAAACGTTGCCGAGAAGGGATTCCAAAAAAAGCCAACTGAATTACTATCTAAGTTGGTTACCCTGAACACTGTTTCAGACAAAAAACAGTGTACAATTTACACAGAGTTAGGATATACGTTTTTGACCATAGGTCTTTCTCAAGTGATACATAATACAGTGAGAGTAAAGTAAAGCTTATGATAAACTGACTAATGAGAATTATATGAACATAAAGACATGCTTGGTCAATGATGGGCTGATTCTTATAGAAACAAAAGCAAAATTTAAACAATACAATGGCAAAATAAGAACAATAGAAATGCCCGATCCAATAGTGTAAAAACAATAGCCCCCAGGACATATAATGTATGATGAACCAATCTAAAGATTACCAGCTTGTATACCAAATTATAAGAAAGGCCTAGGAATATATAATGTCACAAAAATCCATGAATATGTACAATGATGTAAAATATTGTTTGAAGGTTTGCATGGCGAAGTATAATATATAATTAATGCTTGCGGTACACCACATAGATAGTTCTGAAAAGAACTGTTGTTGTTGGTTGGGAATATCTCGACGTTTCGGTTGACTTGCTTCAACCGTCTTCAGGAGAATAATATCTGCAGAGATCTCAAACAGGGAAATACTTATATGTAGTGATGAGACTTGCTGCTGATTGGTTGAAAACTAAACAAAGGCTGAGCCTACCAGTGAAAAGCTATACAAAAGCTAAAATTCACGGTCTGAATAGAAGGGCGGGGCATGGCTAGAAAGCCAAGACAGTGGCATTGTTCTAGCTGGGGGAAGGAATAATGATGTACCCGCTAAATTATAATCCTGTCTCTTATACACATCTAGATGTGTATAAGAGACAGTACTTGTAATGCGTACACTCTTTTTACTCCATCAGATTTTAGCATGGTATAAAATTCAATTTAAAAAATAATCCTACAGAGTCTTGCATTCTTCTAATTTATCTAGCGGTCCAATTTTGATACATAGTTGCAAAACAGAAGTAAAGTATTATAACAGTCTCAGGCAGCTTATAAAGATATATTGGTTGTAATAATAATGAAAGAATTTAAGGGTAGTATTATAATGATATATCAGGAGCTAGAACACTTAATTGTCCATTAAATTACATTAATGTACCATAAGTGGAGCAAAAATGTCTGAATCTAAATCTCTTCATTTATAGTGATGGACAGTTTGTAATTGCTGGATCGGACGATGGATCGTTCTTTATTTGGGATCGTAAATCTACGAACATTATGCAAGTTTTCCGAGGCGATGAGTCCATTGTTAACTGCTTACAACCACACCCTACATGCTGTTACCTAGCAACCAGTGGTATTGACCCTGTGGTCCGATTGTGGTCACCCCAGCCTGAGGTAATTTCATTTCATTCCTGTTGAAAACATCAAAATCCTGACCTATATGTAGCATGGTTTCTGTACAGATATACAGTACTTAATAACCATTATTCTTTCGGGCCCGAAGGCTTTTATTCAATAAATAATAATTGTTTATCTCAATGCTCCTGTGCACATTAGTAAATTCATGCAAGTTGTTCTCGCCTTAAAAGGTAGAAACATTTTTTTTTTCTTTTTTTTAAATATATCTCACTTAAATTGTAACCTCCTTTAAACCTACAACATTGACACACTATAATTCTTAAGTAAAGAGAGTCCTCTGACCTTTTAAAACTCAGTTCAACAATGAAAATATGTTTATTAAAACAAAAACAAAAAAGAAATGAAAAAAAAAAACCGCTTTCCGCATTAGGTTTTTGGAAACAGGAGAGCTTTGAAACAAACAATTAAATTATTATGGCCTAAAATAAATATAACCATAATACTGTATAATGTCTGAGACTATAACCAAGACACAACTGTTGCCTTTAGGGCTACATTCACACAGATCTTCAGCATATTTTCATACTGTGGGTTAGGTGTTGTTGGATTGGAATTTATATTTTTCTTGTTTTATGTACATTAAGCGGTTTATGACCCAGTTATGAGTACTTTATAAGCATTTCATTAATTCATTTTTTAAAATATACTTTTGTGAGGCCTTGGATGAACACTTGCTAAACTGTGGTGGCACCAGAGAGTAGACAAGGGGGCCCATCGGGGAACCCTGGATTCCCTGTCATAGAAGAAGCAGTTATTTATTGGGGAACACTGCTAAGCACACATTTTACCATCTGGGTACCTAGATAGAAAGATTTATACATTTTTCTTTTATTGCCCAATTGCAAAATAATTTGAAATTGTTTTGGCTGGGCCCTTGGGGATACCTCTCTACCAAACGCTCAGCTCTGGAAGTGGTCTAAATATTTGCTCCAAAAACAGTTTGGTTTGAAGTGAATTTGGAACTTATACCTCCTATCAGGGACATTGGACCCCTCGTCAAGAATTTTATACGTCGCCAGCTTTTCTATAGTAGCTGAAAACATGAAGCCCTGGTTGAGAAGTAATCACTAAATATTAAAAGGCTGACCTATATTTTAAAATTATTGCTTGATCAGCTAAATATATTAATATGCTCCGGTAAGTAATTAAAGCTTTTATGGAAATTGCATTTACTATGCAGGAGTCACTTCATCGCATCATCAGGTTAGTGGGTTCAAATTAATTTGGTATGAAGGTTATGCATAGTCAATTTACCAAGAAATGAAAATTACTTTGAATTCAATTACTTTTTGAATTCATCAATTTCGTTTTACTATTTAGGATGGGAAGGCTAACGAGCGCAATGTGACTGACCGGGATTCGGCAGCTTTGGCCAATCAGAGACGAATGATTGCTGATCCTTTGGAGGTACTTTTGATGAATATGGCTCAGCGGATCTCGGGTATGTCGGATGGCTCCGATGATGACTCTAACAGTGAAGCACCTGATCAGTGTAGGCCAAGCTAATTTATATTGTCAAAGTCCTGGTCTGGACAGGCCTAACTAAAAAATCCTTGTACAGAGCTGGGGGCCTGGTTCATTGCTGGTCTTGCCAAAAAAAAAATTTTTGCCCTAAGACTGAGTTTTCTGATTAGGACAGGTTTTGCTAAATAAGTTTTACCATGAGCAAAGGCATCGATGATGACCTAATTAAAGGAAATGTGGAGTAAAACCGAGGGCTGCAGACGTTTATCGTGCGGGAAGTTATCAAATATTGGCATACTTAAGTTTATTAATCGTTTTGAAATAGAGTGTATTATTTATAATTTAAAGTTAAGATAAATATTATTAATTTCTAAATGTATGCAGTCACCTAAAAAAGCAATGAAGCCATTACAATTATGGTTTCATTATAAATACTTTAAAGTTTTCAATGCTATCAAAATATAAGTTAATTTCAAATTTGTATAATAGAAAAAAGAATATATTGCAGGTTTCTTTAGTATTATTATATTGCATTAACCATTTATATCAATGATTTTCATTAACATAGGAGAGCTACTGTATATAGACAACAATGTTTCTACCTTTTATCATCGAGCATATCATTGTAAACCCAGATGCTTTTGATTATCTAAATTTATGAGGGAGTGGGTCTGATTTTTTTGACTTGTGAGAAAAATAACTTATCAGGATTGGGACAACAAGACAACATCAGTCAGTTGGTCTATGACCAAATTATCATTATTCTCAGGAGTAGATGTAGGGGAGAATGGCCCTCCTCCACCCCTCCCCCACCCCCAAAAGAAATGGGGTAAGGAAGAGAAAAAATATAATGGTATTGAAAATGCTGCATGATACCTCTATAAAAGTTGTAATTTCTGTACTCATATTGATTTTCTTTTACAGTCAACTATGTCACCTCCTCCGACACACACACACACACACATACATACACTAGGTACTTCGCACGTCGCATGACCTCTGCCCAGATTTTTCTCTGGATCCCCACTGCATCTTGCTATTTCTACAGATAAGTCTTGAAAGTGCAAGATAATTTTTATTTGGTCAATAAATACAGACTTTTGGAATTGATTGAATGTGTCCTTTAAACAGCAATAATGCCCAGGGGATTGTACCTTTGACCCTAAACCGGAGACTCTAGACGCCCGCCATGCTACACACCTTGATTGACACTGCCCCACATTATCTGTACCAGAATTTTTTTTTTTTCGGGTGGGGGAGAACACTAATTCCACATTTTTAATTCATTCATATTGATTATTAATGCGGCTGAAACTAAAGTGACATTAACATTTTAATTAATTTCAGTTCTATTTTTCACATACGTTCTTAGAAGTTCATTTGCAAACATATGACAATCTTGATTTATCTATTTTGATCCCGAGACTTTGATCTCTAAGGCATTGTGTGCTTCTTAATTCTCATCTCCTCATTTGCATATATGTGCTATATTTCTTGAAATCTCAAAGCGCTCAAGTTGTATACTTATGTAGCTCTCGTTTAGTGCTTATTCCTCTTATTTTGTTTTAAGTTTAACTGATTTAGTGTTTTGGAAACTACCACACTGTGTTTGACACCATTACAATCAATGCTAGTTGCAAAAAAAAAAATTCTTTCTATGTTTTTGCTCTTTGTTAATTAAGATTTTTTTAATGGTATTTAACCTTCTGTATTGACAGCTCAAAACATAAGTAGCATAATCATTTGGATATAATTATTTTATCCGTATCTTTGACCATCCAAACTGCAACTTCAACAAGGAAGCTCTTTTTTCAGTGTAATCGACTCTCGTAGGGAATACTTGTCATGACAGTTGCTCTCTGTTCAACATTTTCAAATGTTATTTCATCTTTATATAACTGACGTGTTGCAACAATCATACATTCATTTATATCTGTCTCTTATACACATCTAGATGTGTATAAGAGACAGGTTTTCTGATTAGGACAGGTAACGCCCTTCTTCGTGAGAGAATTGTCAGTTCCGCTAAACCCCGTCCTTTTTTGAATTGCTGCAAGGTCCAATTTAAAAAAAAAAAACAAAAAAAAAAAACAAAAAACAAAAAAAAAAACCTACGTATACTGTACGAGTGTGTTTGTGGGACGTGCGTTTAATCTTTGCTATTGAATAAAACATTCTGATTGGTCAGTATAAAGTTTGATTGACACTCTGAAACTTTTTCACTTTTAAGCCGGGCACTCACTGCGCCCGACACGATTCTATGAAGAACGCAACGCGACGACGCGCGCGTTACGGATCATTTTTAATGACCATCAGCTCTGACTGCCACCGACAATCAGCAGACGGCGTCGCGTCGTTTAGCGCTCTCAATGAGCGGCGTTGGATTCGTCGTGTGATGGTCGCACGACCGTCGTACGACGTAGTGAGTGCCCGGCTTAAGTGGCGAACTGTATGCACAAAAAAAAAAAAAAAAATATGTGTGTCAGTATATAGACACATGTGCTGCTTGTATCTATTTATCATTACTATTCAACATAACTAAACTACGCTAACGGCTACAGATTATATTTTTAAATATCATGTAGCGGTAGAAGATATAGGGTAATCTATTTATCAAAAAATACCTTGTGAATATCGATTTTCTGTCTATTAAATTAAGACAAAGCAAAAAAAAAAAGTTTCTCGCCATCATGTAATCGAATCTCGTAGGCATTGGCTTGTTGACAGTCGGTGCCAAAAAAGCGCTTGGCTTAACAATCACATGGTCGTATATCAAGCCTCGAGCATACACACTGGAGGATGGTTGTATTTCTTTTAGGATTTATATGTGCTTTGATTCTAAAATTTAAAAAAATAAATATAAGAAGGGATTTATATAGACATTTTTTTTTGTCTTATTCGTTAACTGTGTTTAAATCTAAAAAATAGATTAGAAGATTCAATTCAAGCATGATTTCTCGTAGGATAAAATAAGTTATGAACATCCGTTGAAAATTTAGTGTTGATAGGTTAGATTCTGTTTAATTGATTTTAATCCTACTTCGAGAATCCTTATTTAGGTTTTTTTTTTTGTTTTTTTTTTTGTTTTTTTCTGCCTAGAAAATGGAACGGTTTTATTTTCTCTTCTTGAAGACTCAATTTAAGGAAGTAAAAGTTTTTCTCATTCCAACTTAAAATTGAAAAATTAAATAATAGTATTTTAAATAAGTAATTAAAATATTTTTTACATTTTATCGTTCAGTTTATGCTACATTTAGGCCCCTACTACTGGTATCAGTCCAGTCGCAGGTTTAAAAATATTTTAAAACGCAGACGTTTATTTGCGGTACTGCTGCTTGTAACATTTTAAGATAAGGTGACTGATTGATATCTTCCTCCTAAAACAAACTAATTTCTTCGTCTGCAAATTTCCAAAATATATACTGTAACAATATTATTCAACCCTGTGTAATCATCTTGGAGTGTGGAATATATGCCTATCAGCGATTTGTGCATGAATGCATTACACAACCACTTCAAATATATAAGCCGATATTATGCACGGTATCTTTTTACATATCTTGTTTACAGACGTAGTAAACAGGTAAGATATACAATTCTCTTTAAATAATGACTAACATTCGAGGGCACCTAATTTCCTCTTCAGGTATTGTAATAAACTTAAGTATACATAGACCTACATTTATGTAGGCTACTACTGTACTGCCACATTTATAATTTTTTTTTGTATACGTTATATGTATTTTAAATTACTCTCAAAATCATCGTTTATTCTACTTGAAAATGTAAATATCCCGCAATTATCCATCATGTGATTGGCTGAATTAGCGCGTACGGTACATATCTAAACTCCCTTGCTGACCGCTACGTGCGACTCTGAGAAAGGTTCAGTAGATTTGATTTACACATTTGTGCTACAACAATCCTCAAAAACAGTAGTTTGTAGGCCGAATACCAAGTGCTAAAAACCGCTTAGCATACACGAAATATGTTGTCTTAGCATAAAATATCTGATTGCGCATATCTGATAGAGTTTTAAGCTCTGTCTGTTTCTCTTGAGAGTCGGGCATTGCTCTACTTCACCAGAAAAGTCTAATCAAACTTTACTTGTAAAGCCCTGTTCCAACTATCAAATTTTATTTGACGAACGAGTGACGTTTCCTTAATATGGTCATGATGACATCACATCATGACCATATGTAGGCACATCATGATTATTATGTGAGTATGCACATAGAGAAAATAGAACAGTTCTATTTTCTCTATGGTATGCAACAGGTTTTGTCCAAGAAAATTTGATAATCTGGAAACAGTTAACTGCTTCTAACTACTACATGATTGTTTAAATAAAATTAAAAAAATACTTTTTAAAGATGAATTACGTCATAGAATACTGATCTCATTTTTATTTGGAAATGTCGGCCTATATACTAGGTGCTTTTTTAAGTTTCTTTTTCATAATGGAAACTTTAGGAACTGATAATTTAGTCTCACTTTGTTCACTTGCATGAATCTTGTTTTAAAATATAAGAACTATTGAGAAATGAAAAAAAAAAAAACGTTACGCATGTCGGTTATAGATATGCGAAGACAAAACATTATTTATATGTCATACCCAAATGTGGTTACGTATGTGACACACTAGACTGTAATGTAGAAATCGCCATAATCATTTATTTAAAATTGATATTTGTAATATAAATATCTTATTATTTGGAAAAAAAAATATGATTTTAACATGTTATAGACTTGTCTAATAATGACTTACAGTGAAAACGTATCTGTAGATTTTGTAAAATATTTAAAAAATATAAACATTATCCTATGTTACTTATGTGGTTTGTTGATTACCTGCAGATATATGTACTTTTCATTGTGGGTATTGAAGCGATACAGATAAATAAATATTTTCGATCTACTGAACTTGCTTGTTTCTAGATTGTACTTGGATTGTTTTCCCAAAGGGCGCCAACGTCATACCAACAACCATAACTAAGTAGTAATGTCCGCCCTGCAGCGTGATGTTTGACATTATTTATTCACGTAGCTCATTCAATTCAAACTCGATTTTATATTTAAGCCAGCATAAAACACTGACATGCCTTGGCATTGAAAAGTAGATTTGTAATGTCAATGTACCGTCAAGAAAACTGATAAAATATTTATGCATCTTTAGCCTATCCCGTCCCAGGTCACGGCGGCGTATACGATCGCGAAATACGATAAAAATTTTGTAACACACACCTGAGAATCACATGGCTCCTACATGATTTTTTTCATGGATCCAGACCTTACACATGTTGTAAATTACATTAACTAACATATTAACTAACGGCATAGGTCTGGTTTTATATGGTGACCCTATTGGTAACCCAACCTCCATTAAAATAGTCTGTTCATTTTTTTTTATTTGGAAAGAGAACATTGTTAAATTTTACATTAAGAATAGATGCATCATCATCAGGCAAATGATACCAGGAAACTTTGCCCTGTTATTCAAACTTTTTGACTCTGTGATCCTATATTGGTGAGTAGTTTGTTCACATTTTCCTTTTGGAAATAGAAGATTGTTTAAACGTTGCATTTAGAATTAATGAATCATTGTCATCAGGCAAATGATGAGATGAGGAAACTTAACCCTGGTATTTAAACTTTTTATATGGTGATCCTATATTGGTTATCCAACTTCCATCAGAGTAATTTGTTCATATTTTCATTTTGGAAACAACATTGTTTGAACGTTGCAATAAGAATAGATGAATCATTATCATCAGGCAAATGATGACATGAGAAAACTTAACTCTGGATTCAAACATTTTTTTTGTAAATAGTGATCATACATTGGTGTTCAAACCTCTATCGAAGTAGTTTGTTCATATTTCCTTTTTGGAAACAGAACAATTAGAGTATTAAACAAGTTGACTAATTAGCAGAGATGTAATGGTTTTGAGTCATTTACTTCTTTCTTTTTTTCATTGATTGTTAATATACAAAACATTTAATACTACAATACATTCGGGGTCATTACACTTTGTCATCTTACTTTAATAGTGATCGTTTTAGACTGATGGTAATACAGGCACATCCTTGATCAACTTGTATTCAG